CTGGGGAAGTAAAGGCGGCCGGCGTAATGCTGACCACATTACCCATCAAGTGCCGATTGGTCTGTAAAAATATAGGACGCTCTTCCCATATAAACGATTCGTCTAAGGCGTGAAAAGGGATCTTTGCTTTAAAAAAAAAATTTTTAAAGAAAAGAAAAGACTGCTTCCTAACGAGCATTTAGTAAAGCGCGATTTGACAACAATGGATCGCAAGAGACAATTTTGTATTTCTGTTGTGTTTTTTTCACGTTTATGCTTCATTAAATATATTGATATAACTTCAGTAACGCACCTGACGAAATGCAGCGAAATATGTCCAGTAAGAAATTGGGCAATGTATGGTTTATATCCGCATTATTTTAATTATGCATTTGCTGATTTCAGATTATTGATATTAATCGTGCCGAAACCACACTTAACTGTAAGTGACAGTGCCATTCCTAACCACCATATTAAGGAAGAGAAGAAGAAGAGGAAGAGGAAGAAGAAAAACAATAGCAACAAAAGCCGTGTGAAAGATCCTTGACCTGCTATTCTTCTACTGTAGATAACCAACTGTACTCACTGAATATAGTATACTAGATGGTTATAGTCGTGAGGAAGCATTACATGAAAGTATTGTTGTCAATGACTTTTAAAACACATCATTACGTTTTTCTGAAGAGGATCAATAAATTATTATATTTTAGTAAAATTGTTCAGTGGGCCAATATATTCGTGTGCAGTATTTTAGTAAAATTATTATGTCTTCGGAAGATTGTGTTGTGTGCCCTTACATTCGTGTGAAATTTCATATTTAATCCTTGTTTAATGGAAAATAACGACTTCACTGCTTTCCCGCCAAAAGCTCTGCAAAAATCACGAAGTTCCCTAGTTTCAGGAACGATCCCAAAGGATAGTGAATCAAAAACGACTAATCTCGACATTCAGAACCAGAAGCAAGCAGCTTCATCACTTTGAAGTGCTGGTAATAGTGTGATCAATACTGTGCTTGTCTAGATGCTTTCGCTTCTGATGAATATTGTTGGACTCGTATTTGTTTACCCTATCAATACATTATCTTGGCTCCATCAATACATTATCTTGACTCCATATATACATTATCTTGGCTCCATCAATACATTATCTTGGCTCCATCGATACATTATCTTGGCTCCATCAATACATTATCTTGGCTCCATTAATACATTATCTTGGCTCCATCATACATTATCTTAGCTCCATCAATACACTATCTTGGCTCCATCAATACATTATCTTTTCTCCGTCAATACATTATCTTGGCTCCATCAATACATTATCTTGGCTCCATCAATACATTATCTTTTCTCCATCAATACATTATCTTGACTCCATCAATACATTATCTTGACTCCATCAATACATTATCTTGGCTCCATCAATACATTATCTTTTCTCCATCAAGACATTATCTTGGCTCAATCGATATATTATCTTTTCTCCATCAATACATTATCTTGGCTCCATCAATACATTATCTTGGCTCCATCAATACATTATTTTTTATCCGTCAATACATTATCTTAGCTCCATCAATACATTATATTGGCTCCATCAATAAATTATCTTGGCTCCATCAATACATTATCTTGGCTCCATCAATACATTATCTTGACTCCATCAATACTATATCTTGGCTCCTTTAAAACATCTTGCCTCCATCAATATATTATCTTGGCTCCATCGATACATTATCTTGGCTCCATCAATACATTATCTTGGTTCCATCAATACATTATCTTGGCTTTATCAATACATTATCTTGGCTCCATCAATAAATTATCTTGGCTCCATCAATATATTATCTTGGCTCCATCAATATATTATATTAACTCCATCAATACATTATCTTGGCTCCATCAATACATTATCTTTTCTTCATCAATACATTATCTTGGCTCCATTAAAACATTATCTTGGCTCCATTAATACATTATCTTGGCTCCATCAATACATTATCTTGGCTCCATCAATACATTATCTTGGCTCCATCAATACATTATCTTGGCAATCATTATCTTGGCTCCATCAATACATTATCTTGGCTCCATCAATACATTATCTTAGCTCCATCAATACATTATCTTGGCTCCATTAATACATTATCTTGGCTCCATCAATAAATTATCTTGGCTCCATCAATACATTATCTTGACTCCATATAATTATCTTGGCTCCATCAATACATTATCTTGGCTCCATCATACATATCTTGGCTCCACATTATCTTGGCTCCATCAATACATTATCTTGGCTCCATCAATACATTATCTTGGCTCCATCAATACATTATCTTGGCTCCATCAATACATTATCTTGGCTCCATCAATAAATTATCTTGGCTCCATCAATACATTATCTTAGCTCCATCAATACATTATCTTGGCTCCATTAATACATTATCTTGGCTCCATCAATACATTATCTTGGCTCCATCGTTACATTATCTTGGCTCCATCAATATATTATCTTGGCTGCCACGATGTACCAGCTGTACCAACGAGATAAAGACAAGCCTTGTTATGGCAACAGCCGCGATGTCTCAGCTGAATATGATGTGGAAAAGCAAAATCAGCATTGCAGTCAAGGTCGATATTTACAAATCACTGGTATTGTCTATTTTTTTTTTATACGTGTGTGAGTGTTGGGCTCTCACTGTGGAAATGGAAAGGAGGATTCCGGCTTATGAATGTAAATGCTACAGATGCATTTTAGGAATTAGTTTTTTAGAACACAAAACTAATAAATATGTAAGAGACAAAATATACAAATTTGCGGGACATCAGGAGCCTCTCTTGGCAGTGGTGAAACGTCGCAAGCTAGCTTGGTTTGGGCACGTGGTGAGACATGATTTGATTTCAAAGACTGTACTTCAAGGAACATTGGGGGAGGGGGGGGGGGGGGGGGGGGTAGTTGAAGAAGAGGAGGCTAAAAAAGGATCTGGAATGACAACATCAAGAAATGGACAGGACTAAGTTATCATACACTTATTCGTCATGCAGAAGACAGAGAAAGGTGGCGAGTTTTATGTGCTAGAACTTTCTTCAATACACCTCCACGAACCTAATGGGTCAAGGATTGTGTTATGTTAACAATACATTTATAAGTGCTGTGATTAGTATCGCGCGGGCCGCTTTTGCATCCCCAGCTGATAACCATTTTAGGCTGTGCCGACCTTGTAGTCACTCAGAATCTAACCGGATGTCGATAAGAACTAAAGACGTTCAGGGGGACAGGTGAGCTTCTATCCGCTTTGCCACCTCGGCTTCCGTCAAGACAATAGTATTTTAAATTCATCTGTTGATCTCTGCATCTCCCCTGTAGCAACATATGGATGTGAGTCGTGGACTATCTCGCAGTGTTTAAAAGAGAACATAGGGGCTTTTCAACTGAACACTACAGAAAGATTCGCTGAATACCATAGATGAAGAAGAGAAGAAATACTGACATCGTAAAAGATTTGAACATCAAAGAAGATTGGTTAATAATAAACAGCAGCACATGTTCTGGGAAGCTGAAATAATTAGACTGTATCAAGCGCCACGCCGGATTGGACAACAAACTATAACAGAAGGAATGATGAGAGGAAGGAGGGGCAGGTGCCGGCCAGCACAAAGATAGGCACAGGATACAAGTGCATGATGTGGGAGAGCTGCCGGCCAGCACAAAGATAGGCACAGGATACAAGTGCATGATGTGGGAGAGCTGGCCTGTGACCTAGTTTCTTTCAGGCAGACAGTGATCAGAGCAACGTTCTTTAAAGTGCTTGCCATATGATGATGATGTTGATAAGATCTCTCTCAACAAACAGTTGAAAAATTAAGGTTTATGACAGTTTTGGAGCCGCTGTGGTATGGCGGCTAGACTCTCTATGCCGGCCCGAAAATTTTGGTTCGAATCCGAATGTCTTTGCCTCCAGATCTACCCAACATAAAATATCAACCAATTAGGTGCCGTCGTCTCAATGAAGGTTGGCTGCAATAGACCTCCAGCTCGGTCTTCTCTCTTGGTTGTACACTCTCTCAGATTACTGTTTGTCCATCTCTTGATATTGTCATCCCACTTCTATCCATGTTTTTTCTCTCACCCTCGACCTTCTCCCCCCCCCCCCTTTCCACGGGGTATTGGTTTTAAAAAGAGTGTTTTGTCTTTTAGTGTGGCCAAAATATTTCAATTGTGTTTTTCAGTATTTGTTTAAGTAATTCTCATTTTATTCACAGTCTTCCCAAAACCTTTAGTTTTGACTGTTTTTGTTTTCATGAAATACGGCAAATTCTTTTGTACACCAACATTTCCAGAAAGTCAATTTGCTTTAATTTTTAATTGTTTGGTCAATATCCAAGTTTCTGAACCACACATCAATGTTGAAAATACGCAACATTTGACGATTAGTGGTTTTACTGTGTTGTTTATCTCTCTCATTATCATCAACTTCCTTATCGTATGGCGTGGGCGATCATGCATCTCTACAATCTGCCATCCACAGCTGCATGAATCCGTTCGTTTGCTGACACCCCTCCATGCCATGACAAAAGACGGTCAAGAATCTTCTCACGCTGTCTTCCTCTGTTTCTTTCCAAAGACTGTGCTCCAATATAAATGTGAGATATCGCTAAACGGTTGAACGGGGTTACGGTGTCTGTGTTTTGTATTAAGGTTGTGAAAAGTGTCTTAGAGCTAATGAGAATCACTTTGAGCACGTGTAATGACCTTAAACGTCACTTGTAATTTGTATACATCTCTTAGTGTCTAAATAAGTTTAGTTTCAAAATGTTTTAACGAGTTATGTTTTTGAAAACTGCATACAGCACATTGCTACCGTTATTCATTCAAAGACCGCCAAAATCGCATGTGTCGAAAAATTTCACTGCTGAGCAATAACCGTGTATACATTTTTGAGCGCATATATAATTTGCCTTCTATTCATTGTAATGTGTATTTTCCCCCATGTATTGACTGGTGTCTGCTGGTGTCTGCAGGCTGTGGGCGGACATCTTTCGAGTTCACGGCGATGGTGAGTACATGCGATGGGAAAGAGTTTCTGATGACGTAGTTCCGGTCAATATCTCCTGCATTGAAGACACCCCTTCTACTGTGTTCCAGGTAACAGCATACAACAGACAGGTGGAGAAGATCTTTGATGTGAAGATCTACCAGCCAGGTAAGTTAAGTCTTATGTTTCAGTTTGATACTAGGTTCTTTATTTTTCATTCACCCTACACAAGAGGAATCGTTAAAGTTCGCGGGAAAGTTCAGTATTATAGGGGTGTAAGGATTAGTTATTGCAAAACTGATGGGGACGATTTCAGGCTAAAGAAGATTATGCGGCCTCTCAGGGCCACTATGGAGACATTCAGCCGTAAGGTCCACCCTGACAACTCTTCACAAGTCAAGAATCTAGCGATTACAATAATCAAAGTTCTCGAACACGAGGTTAGAGTTAGTTCAGTCAAGAATTGACCACAAAAATCTATACCATCGTAACTAACTTTAATAACAACAAGTTCGTGCTCACAAGGTGTGCACAAATGAGGATGCAAACATATCAGTCTTGCACAATGTCATCACCATAATTCAATGGCACATAAGAGCCTAAGCGGACACATCCTTAGAATTACTGAAAATCACCGCAGACAAATTAACACTGCGGTCTAAATACCCATGAGCTTACACAAGGGTTAGCAGTAGAAACAGATACTATTCAATATACGCCTACTGGGTCTTGCTGTTAAAAAACAAACTGAATCATAAAGGCACAAACATTATACGATGGCTAGAGACTGCAAATCGTACTAAATCTGCGCGGCATACAGCTATGAGGCAGAACGCAAGACAGGAACACGAAACGTCCTTACATTGGGAAAACTTCCGACACAACTAACTTCCCTTGAGACTTGTCTAAGTTTATCACGTGTGACTGAGCAGTCACCTCAAGTGATACAGTTGTTCGCAAGTTATGCCTGATGCTTAAACTCGGCTTTTGGTGACTCCCGCTACACCTCTGTTCCTGGGTCAAGACAAAGTCATGTGTTGAGTGTTAACCCACGCATTATTAACCCCTCTACATATGAATTAGCAGAACGTATATATATATATATTCTCAATTAAACACCGATTTTATTTACCCTAAACAGGAGGAATCCTAGAATTCCCTGGAAAGTCCAATATTACTGTCGTGTTACGGTTAGGGAATTTGGTGTTCAAATTATAACACCCATATACAGTATTTGATTTTCAAGGGAACTGGGATTCCCCTTGTTTGAGGTGAATAAAAACATAAAGAGCCTGATACTCTTTCTCAATCCATTCGTATTCTTCTCAGCATTTACCATTTATAAACTCCAATGGAAAGTCCTGGTGGTTCGTCTACTTCTGGACTTTGGTCTCGATCCAGAACTTGAGTGTTCAGCGCAAACTGTTTCACAGATCTGGCTTATTTATATGCACTTCGACTTCAAAGTGGGCACCCCTAATTAGTTACCTTCTACGAAATACTTGTCGGAAAAGGGGAGTGGGGGGGGGGGGGGGGTTCTGTTTTTCCTCCATTGCAAAACAATGCACTGTAACCAAAACAGGAAAACCTAAGCCTTTATGATTGTGGATGCTGGGGAGGTGGGGTGTCTGAAGGGTCCGAGCACACATTGTGTGTGTGTATGTGTGTGTGTATTGTGAGCGTGTGCATTTAAAAAGAAAGAAGCACCACAGTTTCAAATATATGCAATTGGTAACATTCTGAAACAAGTTAATCGATACAACTGTTTTAAGACAGTCCTAACATCTTAGGCAAGATGTTGTGCATAATTTAGAACAAGAATATCCAAGGCAAAAGTAGCCTTCAGCCAGATGCAAAAGATACTCACCAGCAAGAAAAAGAGTATAGGATAATAGCAAGAAAAATGTTTAAAGTGCTATATAGAACCTGTGTTGTTCTATGTATGTGAGACATAGACAATAAGCGGTGTGAGACATAGACAATAAGCGGTGTGAGACATAGACAATAAGCGGTGTGAGACATAGACAATACGGGAGAAGCTGAGATTTGTGTTACCAACAGCCACAATTTCGTTTTTGAGAAGAATGCAAAACATATCATGCAGTGATAAGAAAACAAACAAGCCGGCCCCCTTTGCTACACATGGAAGTCATAAATTGATTTTAAAAATTAGACGTAGACATTTGATTATTTCCGAAAAGATATAAAACCGAACGAAACGTGTATCAACAAGCTTTACAATATTACAAACACAAACAAAACGTGAACGTTTCGGCTATGAGCCTTCATCAGCACATATTTAAATCAAATATATAATACGAATACACAAAATCCCTTAGCTTAGGATCTTGAAGCAGCCAGGTCGATGTCTTGCAGGTAGACTGTTGATATTTTCCGGACATGATATCGAAAGGAATGTACTAGACAGCTTGGCACCGACTGGCAAGATTGTTGAAAAAAAAACGAAGGCAAATACCTGGATGGCTTGGTCATGTGGATGCGACAAAATAACTATGTCCTGATCCTAATTTTGGTGATCGTATGAGATGACGAAACATGACAGACTGTATTTATAGACATGGAAGATGATAATTAAGATGCGTGTATGTCATCCTTGAGCGGCGTCCATTACTTAGAGGTTGCGAGTCTGACTCGTAATTCCATCATACCGCGATCGAAACCCACTGCTGGCTGCGTGGATTTTTATCCTGGTATGAAGCGTCGCATGTCGACCCCGCATAATAAAAATGGGTACCAGGATAGATGTTCTGGGAAAGTAAAGACGGCCGGTGTAATGCTGAGCACATTACTCACCTAGTTCCAATTGGTCTGCAAAAATATGGGGTGCTCTTTCCATAAGCCCGATGCGCCCAAGGCGTGAAAAGGGATCGTTTCTTTAGTTATGTCATCCTAAAGAATAGAGGATGGCAGAGCTGCCACAGATATCCTTTATGGTGAATTAAAGACGGGTAGAAAATGTCGAGGCCGACCTCTACTACAATATAAAGATGTGTGCAAGCGAGACATAAATGTTACATGAATTGAGGTGGACTCGTTGGGACAAAGTGCCATTAACCGTGTTGTGTGGAGGCGGCACATCAGGAAGGGAATGAGAACGAAGGAAGAAATGATTGCAGAGAAGATGAGAGCTGAGCGTCTGAGAAGAAACAAACTAAACACAAATGTTGACAACAACCTTCCTGAAGTCCCATGCTATAACTGGGGCGACTTTTCTCAAGGTAGGCGGGCTTGCTAGTCACACTCACCGTGGCCATGAACTGTAAGTCCCATTCATCTATCTCATAGCACAATATAACGCTATCGTTTGGAAATACGGAAAGATAAAAGTCAATCAGTGTCATTCTGCTGGACCTAACAAATGCAGTTGATTTCTCCATCATTCTGACCTCCTGCAGAACAAGTAAGGAATCTACTACTGCAACTCAGATCACTTTTCACTGTCCACTGTAGGCTTTCTCTTGCGCTTCCCGAGTCTATTTGTTTCCTGTCTCATCCGTTTAATGATCGCTACCTCATCTGTCATTTTCAATCTTCCTCTTTCCAGAAACGGTCTTATTCTTTCAACCTGTTGCCAACTCTTGCATTCCCTGCTCTTTAGTCTATCTATCTATCTATCTATCTATCTATCTATCTATCTATCTATCTATCTATCTATCTATCTATCTATCTATCTATCTATCTATCTATCTATCTATCTATCTATCTATCTATCTATCTATCTATCTATCTATCTATCTATCTATCTATCTATCTATCTATCTATCTATCTATCTATCTATCTATCTATCTATCTATCTATCTATCTATCTATCTATCTATCTATCTATCTATCTATCTATCTATCTATCTATCTGTCTGTCTGTCTGTCTGTCTGTCTGTCTGTCTGTCTGTCTGTCTGTCTGTCTGTCTGTCTGTCTGTCTGTCTGTCTGTCTGTCCTGTCTGTCTGTCTGTCTGTCTGTCTGTCTGTCTGTCTGTCTGTCTGTCTGTCTGTCTGTCTGTCTGTCTGGTCTGTCTGTCTGTCTGTCTGTCTGTCTGTCTGTCTGTCTGTCTGTCTGTCTGTCTGTCTGTCTGTCTGTCTGGTCTGTCTGTCTGTCGTCTGTCTGTCTGTCTGTCTGTCTGTCTGTCTGTCTGTCTTGTCTGTCTGTCTGTCTGTCTGTCTGTCTGTCTGTCTGTCTGTCTGTCTGTCTGTCTGTCTGTCTGTCTGTCTGTCTGTCTGTCATGTCTGTCTGTCTGTCTGTCTTCTGTCTGTCTGTCTGTCTGTCTGTCCTGTCTGTCTGTCTGTCTGTCTGTGCTGTCTGTCTGTCTGTCTGTCTGTCTGTCTGTCTGTCTGTCTGTCTGTCTGTCTGTCTGTCTGTCTTGTCTGTCTGTCTGTCTGTCTGTCTGTCTAATGTTGATTTTCCACCAAGACTTATTATATTTTAGTATTAATATAATTGTTTTTAAAATGTTAGGCATACTTCGAGTACCTTGTTTACAAACATGTTATTGATGATGCCGGTACTTATGATTAATATTGAATATAGTATGATTATTATATTAGTATGATTATTATTATTATTACTATCTTCCTAAAC